AATAGAAATATGAATTATTACGTAGTTTTTAGCCTCTCCAGACCTGACAATTATTATTAAAAAAATGTAAAAGTAATGCAACAAAATCAACTTTTGTCAACATCGTTTGTCAAGTTTCGCCATAATAGTCCATAGAGAAAGATAAATAAAAAGACGTTCCAATTCCAAACCACGTGTCTTAAACTACACTCGAAGAAAACGTGTGATATGATCGACAAATGCATTACACTAGGAACATTTTATTTAGGAAACTGTATTCATTGGTTTTAGTTGCATTTTAAAATATACTCATATTATAATAATATTATGTTTTATTTTTATCCAATTCACCAAAAAAAACTTAAACGAAACGGAACGTGTTTGACTCTTTTGACAGTGTGTTTTTGTTAACCTTGCTAATAATACTGGAGTAACTGTTTTGCGTTTTGGATTTGTTTTGTGGATTACGATGAGGTGCATCAACTGCGGAATAGGGGTACAAAGGCTGCAGAGGCGTCTTATATCCTCGCTTTCTGCACACCATCAAACAAAACTTTGAAGTTGGTTAACCATAGCTCAAACCCAGGTACGAAGTCGGAATAGTATAATACTTACTCTGTTTTTTTATGTTTTGTAAAGGTATGCGATTTTAAACAGTGCATCTTTTTTTTAGTTGCCTCTGGGGACATTCATTTGTCAACCACGCTTCTTATTATCGAAGGCTTCTCTGAGGCTGGTGAACATGAGAGACTACTGGGGCATAACATGGCTTGTCTTGGTTGTGGAAAATCGGTTCGAAAAATAAGACACTATAATGTCAGTATGGACTCTCCATTGCTAGCTGGCCTTATATCACAAAATACTATTAATGTGGTAAGCATTTTGTTTTTTATTCATTGTTTTTTATATGTACTTGTATTTATCTATATTAATCTATAAAAAAAGTACTCATAGTAGGTATGTGTGATTATAATATCTATCTTTATGTATTTTCCATGTTTGCATAGACTTCTTTAAAGTAGGCATGTTGTAACATAATACTTCTCACTGTACAATAACATAAAACTTGAAAACATGTGTTCATTCTAACTGGGGTTTATTTTCAGACCTCAAGAAGCAACTATGTTTGTCATGTATGCTATATGCGGGCAAATAGACAGACAGTGCAGGACATATCACGAAACTTGCAGGAATTGGGTTCGGACAACAATGCAGTAGCCCCTTATATTCAAGTGGTTAGCCCACCAGAGCCACCACCATTACCACCTGTTTTAAGCAGGCCGCTTCAAATGAAATGTACTACCATATTATTACCAATTACAATTATACCATACCATTACAATTATACAGAATATATATTACAGAAACGTACATTCCATACACAAACATAATAAAATACACTTTATAATAAAAATATAAAAGTGAATTATTACGTAGTTTTATTTTATTTGTTCTCCTTAATAAATAAATCATTATTGATTATACATATTCTTTTGTTTTATTTTATAAATAAATAAATAAATAATTATAACGCCATGGTTTTTAAAAGCAAAATCTTATTTCGTGCACTTATGACCAGTAATCTGACTAAAGGTTTAGTAAAACTATTTTCGTCTTGTTTGTTATAATTACGAGTTCTTCATGTGTTTTATTAATTGCAATTTAATTTAACAATATACACGAATGTAAACACCAAAAATCATTGATGTACATTGAATTCAATAACTATGCAAACGCCCATACAAAAGTTGGCCATGTCCTTTATTCAATAATATCTTACCCTCCTGTTGTAAAATTACCCCAAACCAAGGGAATTGTTCCACAGTCTTTTATTTCTGTATTTTACATATACTTACTTACACATCAAATCCAGGTCCGCAACAGCACTAGAAACAGCGCCTGCGCGCACGCGTTACAGCCACTACACGAACTGTTCAGCACTCAAACGTTTGTTTTTTTTGTAATAATTTGCAAGCATTTGGCTGCTATTACGCCTGGTCTTTAGCGTTTATACAACCTACAATGGAGCACGCCTACTTATAAGCAACCTATTCACTCAGGCCGTGAAGACACCCAGTTTATAGCAACCCTTATTGAAACACAGACTCCTGGCAAGACTCCGGATTTCATTCCTACTTTTAATATCTAATAAACTTTTTGGAACTTTATTGTTTTTATACATCTGTGTTAACGATTGCGGAATTACGATTACGCAGGTACCCATTATTTCTTGGTTTCTTTTAATGTGTAGGTATATAAATAGGTACCTACCTAGATAACAGAACTTACTATCTTGGAGTACACTTGGTAGAACTAGAACTGTTTACTTTTATTGAGTTATAATTAAATAAACGACGGACAGGTTGTTAGACAAGGAAAAGCTTTGTCCGCAATTTACTTGAAAGTGAAATAAAATATATCTTTTATTTGTAAAAAGCATTTTAAATTCTGTGCCTATTTCCGAGACCTAAGATACTAATGCTGAAACCTAATATTCTGGGCTTGATGTAGGGAGTTTGCGAAAATTATGCAATTATGGATGTTAAACAAACCAGACCCATTTTTGAGATTGAACCTAAAAATGTAGGAAACGTTTTTTTATAACAATAATACTATGTATTAGCAATCAACAAAAGCTATGTAAAAGCAAATTAGCAATTCCAAATGCAGCTTTATACCTATGTATCTCAATCTTAAAATCACTATTGTTCTTCCATTGATAGAAGCATCGAAGCTAAGGAAGGTAATAGTTATATAAATATCTTACTAGATGGCGCTCTGTGATTGTTGTGTACCCTCATAGAACCAAAATGGCACTGCTTTATTTAGGTACCTATATGCCTATGTACTTATCTACATACGATATGTAAATACTCTAAACACAGCCGATTTCTCACGGACCAGTTTCTCTAAGAAATATCTTTGGTATATTTTTCCTTTTTTCCTGAATTCATAAATTGATTACTTTTAGCAATAATTATAAAATTAAATTAAACATTTAAAAAAACCCCCGACTTTATAAAAACCAAATGTAATGAACGGAACGAGATATCCATAAACAATTATAATTCCTATGAAAATGGATGGATATGGATATGGATATCAAATGATATCAATATATCCATAAAGCGCCATTTTGTAGAGGCAGCCATCTTGGATTTAAAATTTTTCATACTTATTAGTATTTCACTAGTCAAGCCCTTTCATTTGATACCCATTATTGATCAAGTTGTAATAAAAAAATGTAAAGCACCATTTTGTAGAAGCAGCCATCTTGTATTTTAAATTTGTCATATCTAATAGTATTCTACTAGTCAAGCCCTTTCATTTGATACCCATATTGATGGAGTTTAAAAAAAAATATCTAATCTGTCATTTTGTGGCGGCGGCCATCTTGGAACAATTTTCATCAAACTTACGTAAAAACACTCTCGAAATTTTCTACTGTCAAACAAAAAAAACTAAATCAAAATCGGTCCATCAGTTCGGCGGCTAGAGTGGTACAGACAGACACACACACACACACACACACACACACACAGACACGTCAAACTTATTATAACACCCCGTCGTTTTTGCGTCGGGGGTTAAAAACAATACCACTATGACTACACTAAAAACCTACTTTTGTTATTTCTGTTTAATTAAACACAAATTTATATACCTATTAAAGACTTATTAATTACCCACTATTGTTGTTTTAAACTAGGTACACCAACTTCCATATACCTAGTATGCCTACTTTTTATACAATTTGCCTTATTTATTTATTAAAGTTTATGCTATTCATGAAGGAAATGTTTTTTCATGATAAGTTTTCTTGCCTGTAACATTGTGTATTGTGTTTTTCCCATCATTCAGAAGTCATTAATTTATAAATGTTTTAGTTCTACATTGGAAACCTAATTAATTGAGACTTGAATTTCATATGCAAAGGAAGAAGCCATTTTTATAAAATGTCTTTCATTACTGATTCCTTATCATATCAAATTTTAGTAATATTTGTGTATTTAAAAAAATTACCTGTTAAGCGTATTTAGCTTTATATCCTTTAGAAAAAGGCAGGGATTGGTTGCAGGTACTTTTGGCCAGTACTATTATTAGCATTTTTGCTTAGACTATTCTGAAGTGTTTGTATTGGTATGGTGTATTAGAAAACAAAGCAGAGCTCACATCCAGACTCTTTTCTCCCTAATCACTAATTCGGGGATTGAACCCGAACCTTGTGTTTGCACAAAGCTTTAAAATTTGCTAGTCGCCAGTGAAGTCACGGGCATGTAGTGTGGTGATTAAGATAGGGGTAAAATAAGAGAAAAAAATAAAAAACAAAATATTAACATTATTTTGACTATAATTCAATAAAAATGCAGATGGAAATAAGAAAACTTACAAGAAAAATGTCATAATTAAGCTTTCTACTTAATTTGTTTGTCCATAAGAAAAAAATAGAATACGTAATAGTCAATTTTTTGGAAGATTAACTTAAAATTGGAATTAAATTAGTAAAAATTAAATACTTAACTAAAAGTGTCGTAAACTAAACTGAACTGTTATATTATATGACTCATGATATATTACTAACATTATAGGCTAAACAAGTTACAACTTAAATGTCGGTTTAAATACAAAAGTAATTAAATAAATCAGTTTTTAATGGTTTATAATTTGTAATGAACTGATAATAAATAATAATCGTGATCTTTATGAACGCTTAAAACTAAAAATTCCTTAACATTAGGTACAAAATTATTATCTGTTGAACGACTTGCTTAGAAAGGGAGAAAAACTGAAACTAATAAATAGTAAAACAAAATAAAAAATACCATCTCGGTTCTATAAAGCTGAATAATAATATAATAATCAAACGCAAAACCAGTATTGGTCAAAATGACGTTTTATTGTAATATATTAGACTATAAGAACTCGTAGATCTGACAAGTTATAAAAATATCAAATGTGTCGCGAGGATACAGTCTCTTGGTAAGATTCGATAGCGTACGATGATTCTATCAGAATTTCTCCTAATCACTTACATTGGTCCCTTAATTAAAAGTTTAAACTTTGTTTTATATAAATATTATAAAATATCACACTTTAAATTCAAAAGAAAACTATGCTACTTGGAAACTAATCACTTAGTTCTGTCAAAGTAGGTCTAAAGTACCTAATAACTGTGCCAATTTGAATATTATATTCAAAAAGAGACAATAAATAAACAATAATCTATCTCGATCAACTAAAAATTAAATAAATCGATTTATCTCGTTTATAAAGTAAAAGGCACACTTGATGCGGAGCGCGGGCGAGCGCGAATGTCCGCAGCACCGACCCCGCCCCACCGCGGCGACCGCTCGCCGGCAACAATTGTATAAACATGTTTCATATATTATTGTGTCATATCTTTATACAGGTTTATCGGTACGACAACTCGGGAGTTCGGCGGGCCAGTGCTCGGGAGCTCCGGTCCCGATGCTTTTTGCGAGGCGGACGCGAGCGCCCCGACCACTACGAAAATAATCACCCAAACTTGGAACCGGTTTCAGGACGCATCTCGTTCTCCTCGCACGAGGCAAAATGAAAAAATAATATTCCTCGGCAGACTAGTCGTGCCGATAGTGCTGAGATGGGCCGCCGAGGAGATCGCTAGCGATGTCGACTAGCCGGAGATTATCGTTCGGCACGCGGCCACAACTGAGTACTTTCGGTTTTAGCTTGCCGAGGTCGACTACAATAAATAATTATTCGAGAATAATAAAACTGGAATACTTTGATCCACAAGACCATCGAGCTCCCGAGTAGTAAATCGACTGATTCCGCCCGTAGCGCATAAATGGTTGTTGTTATAATTAAAATTTGTAATAAGTAGCGTTTGAGTCGAGGTGCAGAATCAGTCGACTTTATGTATGGTAACGAGCCACGTCCCGTCGACGCAGGCCTCGTCCGTATGCGGTGCGGCATCGCAGCTGCTAGTTACAAAATAAAATAATTATTACAGTTAAAGAGACTCAAAATAAATAATAAATTATTATCTTAAACCCTTAAAAATAGATCACGAGCGCCTTCTCGCGGTACAGTACCGAGCGCGGATAGGCAGTACGAAATAAATAAAATGTTCTATAAGCTAACTTTACAGAGACCACCGCTCGGCGGAGGATCATCGGGAAGACTTCCGCGAGCTACACAATAAATATCTAATATTATAAGGTGCCATTTACAAGTGCGTGCCGATAACTAAAAATGTAGGTACGAAACCACTATACTTCACACCGCAAACTTTCGAGACGCCAGAAAACACTTCGTTCGTTAACTTTATAAATTACAAGGCGAAGTAGCAAAATAGCATCGACAAACTGGAGATCATTCGTTGAGCGGGTGTGCGTGTGCGCGAAGCGCGACGAGCGGGACGCCGCTCGGGCGCTGGCTGGAAGACGTCGAGTAGGCACTAATGTGACGGACGATCCTTAAGCTATGTTCGGTATAAGTTAACTTAGGACTAAGCGGTTGCAGGCTCTAGGCGATGACGAGGTCCCCAAACGCCGATGACAGACGGTTGAAGACAGGGAGTCGCTCTTCTTCAGGGTCAGGTGACTGCGTGCGGCGGAACGCGAATGCCGTGGCGTGCGCAGGGGGAGACATTGCTGGAGGAGAGTGCGGCGTCAGCGGGGACTGCGGGGCCAGTGGCGAGTGGGGCGAGCGCGGGGAGCGCGACCCGTCGCTCATGTATGAGGCCAGGGAGCCGCCAGACGACAGGGACGCCAAGGAGCCACCGGGGGAAGGCGGCTCACGGCGCCGCGCCTCTTCTGCGTTGTGTACAAAGTGGCACCGGGGTCCGTATGGACAAAATCCAACAGAGTGGAAAGTGCGGCACAGTTCCGTCTTGTACTTAGGGTGGCGTTGCAAGTTACGCAGTTCGCGCATTCCATGCGCAAATTGACACTTATCGCCATATTTGCATACACCGGCTTCTTCAAAAGGTCTGCAGAGTTCTGTCTTGTATCTGCTTGTGGCTGGTGGGGGTGGCGCGGGTTCGCTAGTGGTGCGCTCGAGCCGGCGGTGCCCGAGACGATCAAGCAGCCCAGCGAGGGCTCGGTGAGCTGGCACAGAAGCGGCGCGAGCCAGTACTGGATGCTGTTCCCAATTGACTGCACCAGATACTGCTCCAGCTCCCACAGGGCCAAGGGTCGCGCTCAGTGTGGCGTTCATCGTCTGCACTGGCCGAGATTGGTTCTGAAAAAATATAAAAAATCTTGTTAGGCAATACGAACTATAGTACAGGCTTAAACATTTCAAGAATAATAAATAGACTGGCCAATTGATAACAACAGTAGTGTACATATTATTTACTTTTGTGCCAAAGATACGAGACGCACGTGAAATGTGTTTTTGTCATAGCTGTATTTAGACAGTAGAAAAAATTTAACAATCTACCTACAAGGGTCGAGTACCTGCTTATGTTACAAAAAAAACTATCCCAAAAGCTGGGTTGGTCGTCTACCTGCTCAGATTCATCTCGTTTTCACTAATGGTCTACATGTTAAAACGGTTAATGTTACCAATTAACCAAGGTTTAAAATGGCGTTTTTGATGCCCGGGGGTGAGTCGAATTTTAATGTTGTGTTTATAACGTCCAGTGGATTTCGTTAGGCCGGTTGAAACCCTAACATTAATTATTTATTTCGGTAAATTTCCCAATTCCCATCAATATTCCCTTTCTAGAGGTGTAATGTTTAGAGATGCAAATGTGTTGCGCATCTTTTGTTTTCACGGAGCGTCGAACCTGAAGCTATAGAGCATCACCATAACAATGCTGGTGTTCACGCGAGAGGCAGTTGACACGGGCGCGACAGCCACAATCGAGGTGATTGTGCACTATTGTTCAGACATCGCTTGTCGCCACTATGACGAATAATTGTCACTAAGTTATTTGACGACACTTCACGCGAGGGGCAACGGTCGGCCGGCAACGGCGTCTATAAGTCCGATACAGCCCTGCCGTACTCAACTATTGATGTTGCTATTAAGATTTATATTTAACTACGTGGAAGGTGCAAACTAAGGAGAGGAGTTCCAAGTGTATTAAGAGGATGATTTTGTTAGAGAAGCAAGATTAAGGACTGAACAGATCAGTTCGTCGTGGAACATGAGCTCTATACATAATGTATGAACCGCCGCATCTTGTATGCGGCCTCAATCGATGTGAATGACACGTCATTGTATATTCTATTCGCCTCCGCCTCGTCCGGGGATCGTAAACACGCAAACACTTGTGTTTTAGAATACAACGGACAAATTATTGTTTGATTCTGCGCTGTTTGTGAGCATTATTTTCCTATTACATTTCCTAATGAATACAATCATTGGTAAGTAAGGAGTACCACTACCAACGGATTAAGTGGATGGACCCTCAAATTGGAATGCTGCCGCCGACAAAGTCTATAACACTAGACGGTAACTCTTGCGGTTACTAGCAAACGGTTGGTAAACAATTAAACACGAATGCTTTTAGTGGCGTATAAGTACCTATTGTTCACTATGTGGGCAATAACCGGCTACTCTTAAGACTGCGTCTGCGCAGTAACTATTTGTCCTTCATGAGAGATTGTTTCTGCCCTGTTCACATTACTTATGGAAAATATTGGAGAACTAGCAGACCATAAAAATAACAAAAAAAAGTCATCAGTGTCCTACTCCAAAAACGTCGCGCAGCAGTGTCTGGTACAAAATTTATTGTCGACAATATATTTCAGCTTAATGAAACAATATGACCGTAGAGTAACGTCAAAGGCGAAAGTGAAGCAAACAAATGAGCGTGTCAGTACAATCGCGGGTGAAATGTTGCAGTGAAAAGCCAGGGGTTAAGTTGGTGGCGGCCAAGTGTCGACGGAAAACGGTCGAGGCGTAATTAGAGAGTTATCAGAGCGGAACATTGGTTAAACGCTGCTTTCCATCGGACGTTGCGCTCGCGCAACCGAGCTCCAGGGAAAATTGTAATCACTGTCGATTTCAAATGGCCGCGGTCGTTGCGTTCGAAGCTGAGGGTAATCAGCCGGTAGCGCGTACACCACGATTGCAACTCGCATATTATTATAACGCATGTTTAGGTTCTTGCTCTACGTCAATAGTTTACATGTTCGGGCCAACAAACTAATCCATAACAGTGTAACGGGTGTTTGTTTAGTAAACATAATTTTAGGTAAAGGATGGTGTAACGAACGTTTCCAAAGATCCGGCGGGCACAGGTCGCGTCTCATGCTGCATGTGTACTGTTTTGGTTAGCGTGTGATGTTGTCAACGCGACAAACACGCCGACCGCTCGAGCCAATGTGTTTGTGTTTCTCATTATTATGGTGGCACCAGATTGCATAATGTTCTATACATACTATTTTAAGCTTCGGTCCAAGTATCAATTACATTTCCATTTAGGAGCAAAACTAAATAACACGCGTTCAAACGTCAATTGGCAGGAGACAAAGCAGAATTTTATCGAAGTAGTGGTATATTTTGCTAAAGGATGACATAAGCATATCAATTTATGGTCGTAAAATATGAAAAGAGTAAACATGAGTGGCGAATATTCAGATGTTAATATATTACCAGAACATACATACCGAGGGCAACGACATTACTGACTAATAAAACGTACTGTGTTGCTTGTATCAATTGTTATAAGCAAGGTGCTGCCAGTGAACTGTCACTGTATAAGTAAACTCATAAGGTCCAACTACATGTATAGGTGTACTTTCAAATTGGCATCCTTAGTTTAGAGCTTGCAACAAAAACTAATTACGAAATTAATGAAAATTTAAAAACTGTTTAGTCAATAAGGTTATCGAACTCCAGCATCGCGCCGCGTGTGCTCGCGTATTTACGTTGGCAATCACTGAAAATTTACACCTCTTCTTTACTGTCGATACTTTCCGAACCGAGGTCTCGCTAAATATATTCTCTTTACAGATAACCTCTGAGGGCAATGGCACCGAATAACAAAGAAAGCGAATTCAGGTTACTATTTCCAGCAGATTTCAAACTTAACAAGTCAAATATGTAGATTGTGTAGCTATTGCGAAAAAATCAGTTGAATATTTAGACGTGGTGTCTGTTACTGAACACTTCAGAACCTTAACCTGTGCCTTGCATCGTCACAATAGCCAAACCTGACCTTTGTTGCAATCATAACATTTATTATAGTGATGTTTCTTTGTGGTTTGTTTGCTAGATCGTCGTAACCGTAAGGGCCGTAACGAGCATGAATTCGAATCAGTCAGACGCAGACGCGGCTGGCGACAATTGATACAACTTTATAACTCAAGCAAGAGACCTGCTTAATTGAACGTTAATTGGTTCTAATCAAATGCGTTCTATATTTAAATGAACTTTTAACGATTTGAAACTCTCATACAGATACACAAACACATGCTCCCATTCGGCTGATGGACAAAATAAAACCGTAGGGTACAACGTACTCAGTAGCGAAAATTTTCGATTGAAAACAAAAAGTTCGACCAAACATTGGAACTAAACTGCATGGAGCATCAACTACATGTTTCAAGTGGTTCATTTCTTTGAGGAGCCAAGCGAGGGTCTTGGCGATTGATCCTATAACGTTTATTGAATGATTGCGCGAAAACGATCACAGTCGAGATGTTGCGGTCCCCTCTGACAAAGACCTAACAACAATCTCCTAATAATGACCACAGTAGTCATTAACCTTTCAATGTCTGACGTCGTTGCCCCTTGCTTCTGCATAAAGTCGTTTATTTCAGTTTGCATAAAGTAGTTGACGATATTGTTCCCCTCATATATTTCCTGTTGTTAGAATAATGAACAAGACATAAGATTTCCCGAAAATCTTGAATTATAGAAATTACACCTTCGTGAGCGTTCACTCGAAATCGTGAACAATGGATGTACATTATGTGATTCATGCGGTGACACTGCGTAGTGTAGCTACTACTAATCGGTGTATATCGAGCACTTGGGATTATTTTAGTGGCGCATTTTACCACAAAAACGGATAGTGTTTACTCCAATCATATTATGAAACATGTTAAAATAGCGACGCAACAAATTCAGTGCTCTCCCACGTAGTCCAGACATCCGCTCAAACGGCCACCATATGATTCAAAACATGCTGATAATTGTGTCGCTTGATTATTTATTAGCACAGCGAACATTATTATTAAATTGAATAGCAGCACTGAATTCGTAGATTATACTAGAAGTTCGCAATACAAATATGGTAACAATTATTCCTATGTGTATTCATATATTTTTTTATGGATTTAAAATATGGTATGAAATGGCCAGAACTGTACAAGATGGTTATTTATCGGTAGTTAGCCTATATGTACACAGCATTATAAATATGGTAAACGTATCCACAACAGTTCACATAGTTAGCGACTGTTAGATGAGTAAGACCGGACGCCGGGCGTACCGCACGCATGCAGATGGGCACCACGCCGTGATTGCAATGCGAGAACATACCGGCTAAGGTATAAATGCCATCACATGTTAACCGCTCCTCTTTATTTATATTACGAACACCTACCAAACGATTGTCTGCTGGTTTATTATATTAGACGAAACAATGGAAATGTATTTAAAGAAGTAACTAGGCAATCATTAACATAGCCAAGAGGAAATCACGTAGTACTGGATACATGCTACGAAGAATTTTTTAAATTGCCTACTTACATCACTTTCTTGGTAAGGTCTATAACAAGTGCAATTATATTAATAGTTATGCCAAAACAAAAAAAAAGTCAAAGCATAGTTAATAGATATCGATCAATTATAAATAAGCGAATTTTAGCGGCAGTAAGTAGGACCTGGACCCCATAGTAGACCAGGGGATCAATCATTTACCATCGCCATCAACTACAAAAACAAACTTTTTAACGGTAGGCGTTTCAGTTGTAGCTTTAGACCAGAACAAAAAGGATGGTTTGCTCTGATTTTTTGAGGGACTTAAAGATTCTATAGTCCTTAAAATAATTAAGTGTAATATTTTAAAATATGTTTTATCATTGCAAATTATTGATTTAATATTTCAAAATAATACATAGAACGGAGTGCAAGTACCTATCTATGTGTGTGGAGTGCAAGTATGTACTTGGACTACGTAGTAGTATTGGTGTTGGATAACAAATCGTATTTCACAAAAAAGAGGTTTCGAGAAAATAAGAATTAAGTAATCGCAATTTGCGATTCTACACATCTGTATA